GAGGAAGAAAGGGAAAGAGAACTTCAAGCTCCAAAATAACAAAAGCTCCACATCAAAGGCTCTGATTCTCAATTAAGATTTAAGACTATCAGGACTTGAACCCAAAACATATAAATCGATCAACAATTATTGGGAAAGAATCTTCCTACAAAGAGAAGGTTTAGAGAGAAGAAGAAACCCACAAACTTAGAACACTTCTCTCTAGTTTATCTATATAAAATTATGAAAAATTAAACTTATGAGACTCAATTCTTAACAGAAACCTTAAATATTATTCCCCTCGAGGTCAAATTGAACTTTAAGTCAAAAAAACCCTCTAAACATCTCAACAACTCTTTGAGAGTTCCTTAATTCCTTGGAGTTATTCAACCACATCACAGACATCAAACATACAATTGTTGATAAAAATAATAATAATAAGGTACAATATTACACCACTCAACCACTAAACTAATTGATTTTTCTAATAGTTTTATAAATATAAATGTAAATATATTAGAAGAAATTTTAATGAAAATATTAAATATATGCTATAAATATTGAGTATCTAATTTATATATTTTAGTCACTAAAAATTATTTTCATATCATATATTTCTAGTTAACATTCTTTCAATGATTTATGTTTTTCAAAAAGTATATTAATGTATATTAATTTAAATTTATTAAAATATTGATTTATCAAAAAATATATTATTAATACTATTAATATTAATAATATATAAATTCTAATTATTTAGTAGCATATATATATATATATATATATATATATATATATATTCTATTTAACATGAATAAAAATTATAATATATAACTTAAATAGACAAACAATTACATAATTTTACAATATTATGAAAAATAATAATATATTATTTTCGTTGATTCTCTGGTTGCTTATCATGATTCCCAATTGCTTAGAGATGGCGTGGCGAAACCACTAATTGATAGGACTTGCTTAAGAATAAAACAACTCAAAATATTAGGTTATTAGGTAAGAAAGTCTTTGTTCAAAAGAAAAATGTAGAAGAGTATCATGACTTAAGTATCACATTATTTTTTATTTTATTTAATGTGAGACTTTTATAAATTTACTCCTACTTATATATGATTTACTATTATCATGTACTTTATAAAAGACAACAGATCATTCTTATTCCTTTTCTGTTTTTATTTTATCTTATCAAGTAGTTGGTTGTGGCTTGATCTTAGGAGCAGTGATTCTTATCTTTCTGTTAGAGTTTGTTATTTTCAGATTTATATATGTTCAATGATGTAACACATTCTATATACGAAGAAATACATACAACAGTTTCTTCCAAAGATTTATTATGGCATCAGAGCGGGAAAGTAAGGGACCGGAGAAGAAAACTAATAACCTTGTGGGCAAGGATGAAGCAGCTGCCATCACGCCATCATCTCCTTACTATCTTGGATCTTCCGATAACCCTGGAACGCCGCTGGTAGCAGTAATGCTTAAAGGCGATAATTATCGAAATTGGGCAAGGTCTTATCAGGACTTGAACCCAAAACATATAAATCGATCAACAATTATTGGGAAAGAATCTTCCTACAAAGAGAAGGTTTAGAGAGAAGAAGAAACCCACAAACTTAGAACACTTCTCTCTAGTTTATCTATATAAAATTATGAAAAATTAAACTTATGAGACTCAATTCTTAACAGAAACCTTAAATATTATTCCCCTCGAGGTCAAATTGAAC